AGCGCCCCACGGGCAGAGGGTCCACCCGCCAAGCCCCGCGCCCACGGCCCCCAACCCTCATCCTCTCTCCCTCGGGAGCCCCCAAGGGCCCCTTTCCTTTCCCTGGGAGCCTCCAGTTTTACCGAGAACACAGAGTTCGGGATCCCCACACCCGAGGTCCCAGTTATCTAAGAACTCGGGCGGCGTTCCGCACGGAGAGCTTCGGAGAACTCACACCGCGCAGCCGCAGTTTTCACTGTATCTGTAATTCCCGCGCTTTCTGTCGCCACGGTAACCAGCGGCAGCAGCAGAGAGTTAACCTCTCAGAAGACTGGAGGAAAGCACGTAAAAGGAAGGTCCAGGCATAGAGCGCCCACAGTCTCCTGGGCTCCGGATTGGTCGCCCAGTCTGCCCGTGTGAGACGTAAATAAAAGGCGCCAAAGCCCCCCCCACGCCCCCGCCATCTCTTGGCCTCCAGTTCCGGTTTATTACGTCACAGTTTCTCAAGGGTTGGAATGGATAAAAAAGACTCCAATGTGAGCGCAGACCAGTGCTCGATGTAGTCTCACGAAGGGGTTCCATCTGCCTACCCGTTCTACTGCAATGGAAGTCTTCAACGTGGGCAAGTAAAAAAAAAAAATAAAAAAAAAAAAAAAAAAAAAAAAAAAAAAAAAAAGGATCGTGAGGGACAAAACTACAACTTCCGACATGCATTGCGGAACGAATCGTCTTCGCCACAGTGTTCTTTGGAGACTGTAGTCCTAGAAAGACACGTTCGCAACGCCCGAAACCATCACGATTACCACCACAACCCCTTTGGTAGATCGAAGACCTTCTCACGGCTAGGCAGGTCGACAGCTATGGGTTCCACCGTTGTTGTGTTTTTCTTTCTTACTAGCAGGCTAGGCTGAAGAACCTAAAACCCTAGGAAGACTACGATTCCCATCCAGCCCCACGAATCCCGGCAAGTAGGCCCCCAAGGTTGCGGACCTGCAGGAGAAGGAAGGCGCTGCGGTCCGCGCCTGCGCACTCGTAGTTCCGCCTCTCCACCCCTGGGTTTGTTTGTTGTGAGG